TCTGACACCTGGGATTCATGTTCTGACACCTGGGATTCATGTTCTGACACCTGGGATTCATGCTCTGACACATGGAATTCTTCGTTATCAACGGATTCGTGCTCAGTATTGACATCTTGGTCTTGTTCGTTCGGACCGGCTTGATCTTGTTCTTTTGGGCCGGCTTGATCTTGTTCCATAACAGGCGAGACTTGGTCGTTTAACAAGCTTTGCCCCGGTTCATCAGAACCGTCCCCAGAAACGCTTTCTGAATATTGGTCTGGAAGTGCAAATATGTACTGAGAGGCAATGGGCATTTCATCGTATCTATTTTTAGCTCTGAATGCGTTGAATACTTCATCTTCATCCGCATCGTTTAGCTCGTTCCCCTGGCTATCTGTAATCCGAATGATCCAGTCATCATTGGTATCGCCAAAAGAACGCACATCGTCAAGAAGACCGTAACACGAGACTTCCCAATGGTGCTCCTTGTTTGAAAGAGGCGGAGAAACTACATGCGAATGCAGGCTTCTTCGAGTAAGGTGATGCACCAGTCGTATTCGATCCCCGTTTCGAAGTGGAACAAATGGATCAAGATCGTGAGGCGCGCTGAGATTTCCAGGCCACATGTTCCACCTGTATTGCTTCCTAAAGGGATCCGGGTATCGAGGCAAAACTATCCATTCATTGTTCAGATCGGAAAAAGGATACAATGTCACTTGCTGCTGCTCAGAACCTTCTGGGTAAAGATGCGAGTGCGAGTGAAGAAAACTCTTTTGAGAAAAATGGCGGATAGTCACTATGCTTCCATATCCCACGGGAGCGTTGGTCGGTGGGAGAATGTGGCTACCTTGCAGAGACTGCTGGAATAGCAAAGACATGGACGAGGCTCCTGGACCGGCCTTTGTCAGCATCTTGAAATGCATCCAGAAAGAGCCAACGTAGATTAGCACCGGGACAACAAGCAGGGCAAAAAATCTGGCCAAAAAATGGAGCGAGAAACGATTAATGGAAACTACTCGCGGGCTGCTGAACAGCTGCCAAAGATCAAACAGCGTGGCAAGACCAACGGTGGCCACAGTAAACAGACCTGCCCATTTACAACTGGAAGCGCATCCGATGCAGATGCCTGTCCCCATCAAGAAGATCCACCAACCCGGTGAGAATGGATCCCTTCTCTTTTTCTGAAAATACATGTAGAAACAAATGGCAGCTGCAGACGAAAATATAAGGTACGCGTCCAGAAAGACAAACCGAAATTGCGTTGTCAGTGCATTTTCGAACAAAACTAAAAGAGCGCCAAAAATCGAATATTCCACCTCAAGGCCCAGCCCAACACAAGTCAAAAACATCACGGGCACAAGCAGAGTGCCCAAAACGGCAGGCAGTAGCCGCAACCCAACATATGGAACATCTGCTTCCAAGTAATCGAGGCCAATGAGGTCGAAATTGAAATCTTCCGGAAGACCTAAAAGCCAGGAAAGCCCTGCAATCAGCATCTTGGCTCCGGGGGGGTGCACATCCAAAAAAAAGGTGCCCTTTTGATATTGCTGTGCAAATCCGCCAAAATGGACCTCATCAAACCTAGCAACAATTAGAATACAGATTCCTACACCACAGATGAAGGATGGCTCAACAATGCCAGCTTAAATATGGCAGCAATGCCGGTCAATACAATACAAATATAAAAGCTCTGAAATCCTTTCCCAGAACTTCCCTCCTTGGTCATGATGGCGAGAATTCAAAACGACCTTTGATGCATGAAAGATGCAATGCACTTTATTTACCAGTTGGTGATCCACTATCGGCAACAGATGTCTTAAACAAGCGATCATCATTATCAATGATCGCCAAACAGATCATATTTCGAAAATTAAAATTACAGGCTAGCATTAAAATTAAACTTTGGCGCATTAACAGAACAATTTGTCGATATCAGCTGATTGGATAATTTTATCCCAGCAACAGAATGCTAGGCGACGAAATGTATGTGCGCCAAATGGGTATTAGAAGCATGGTATGGCTGTCCTCAGTAAAGTTAGCGAGCGGCGCAGAAGGTAAAGATGGATGTTTAATTTTTTGTTATTTCATGTTTTTTACGCAAAATGTGATGTTTAAATGTCTCTCTTCCCATTAGAACCCTTGTCGTTGCACCCGCACATTGTAAAGATCGCTACCTAACCCTAAGACCATTTATCAGACTCGAGTGATTATCATCTCCGAACGTTCCTCATCATCCTCATCATCGTAATCATCCTCATAATCGTAATCATCCTCATAATCGTAATCATCCTCATCATCGTAATCATCCTCATAATCGTAATCATCCTCATCATCTCCATCATCAACACTGTATCTTATCTGTATCTGCCCAGCTGCTTGATTCTGTTGATAAAAAGATACATCCCTAATTTGCTTATATAGTAATTCGGAACTTGATCTGCTTAATCATTTGCACAGATATATCGATCGATCAAGCGATCTAATGGATAGCCGCGAGCTTTTTGGAAGTGACCCGGAGAATTTTGGGAAACCCCATGGGCACTGCCATTTATACCTGGGTTCGGTACTTTGCCTTCCGCGTACCCCTTTGATCCCGAGGAGTCATTCCGTTTCTGACCATGTTGAGTGTGAAAATCTTTTGCATGCACCCAGTTTTGGGAATGAGGAGGACCCTTCAGACCTTTGTATGGCGTCTCCCAGTGCCCGAAAAAGATGTATCCCAGAGGCCGAACTCATCAATAGAACGACCCTCCTTTCGCACTGGAGCATTACAAAGTCAGCCCCTTTGTTTGCCAAATGTTCATCCTCTTTACCTTCGCTGTGTACGCCTGAGGATTCCCCAAAGTCCACTTTGGACACCCTTTTTGCATATTTCCGGCGCTCTTCGCCAAAGTCTCCAATTACGGGCGTCTCTTGTAACGCCAGCGAGGAAACCTTGATACCGCTTCGCCCCATTTCAATGAATCTCACCCATGCAATGACACCAGAAATGTCACCTTCGAAAGCCGAAGCAGGCACCATGCATTTGCAGCAAAACTTCGGAATTCCAGCCAAACTTGCAGCCAAGGCGGTTTCGCAATCAATTGCATTACCACGGTACGCAAAATCGCTTACGCGCTCGCCCCTGAAAACGGCGACGCAACGAAAAGTTGTCCGTCCTGCATGCAGATCGCCGATGCCACGACGACTTATCTCGTCGCTCGATAACTATGCCACACCATCTTGTGTGGAGCTGCAGGATGAGGCGATACCGTTGGGACTACCCATACTCGATGTCAGATCAAAGGAAGCGATCCCACGGATTTCGCCAGAAACTCTGGCTAGCTTACTTGAGGGCGAATATGCGACGACCTACTCTACAATCCATATCATCGACGCTCGTTTCCCGTACGAGTACCATGGCGGACACGTTGCAGGAGCACTTTCTTGCTCGTCCACAAACACTTTGGAGTCGATTTTCTTTAACGAGACCATTCTAAATCAGCAGGATGCCGTTCAAAATCGGACAGCAATTATATTTCATTGCGAGTTTAGCTCACATCGGGCACCTTCGCTTGCCCTTTTTATGCGCAAGCGGGACCGTTCTCTAAATGCATATCCAAAGCTTTTCTATCCGGAGCTTTACATCCTGCATGGAGGATATCGCGAGTTTTTCAGGCGGTACGTGGGATATTGCCAGCCACCACAATATCGTCAGATGCATGATCCTGCATTCAAAGACGAGCTCCGGATTGAGATGCGGCTCTTCCGAGCAGCCTCCGCGCGCCATGCAAGGCATTCCTTCCTACTGGATCCAGCCATAGAGGATCCTACTAGCGAGGAGGAAGATGACCATAGCCTTTCTCTCGCGTTCGATGCGAGCTAAAGACCTTGGGTCAATTTTGTTTTTGGGGCTTGGGACTGTATATACATTATACCACTAGAGACGCATCATCAAATCCTTTCATTAAATTCTAAATTCCAACTTTAAATTTTAAAGCTCCACATTATTTGCCATGAGCTCTGGGAGCTCATTGTCCAAGCCTCCTCTTGCGGCCAAAGACGCTGCCGCGTTTAAGTCGCTGCTGATGCTCTTTGAAAACAAGCTATACAAAAAGGCTCTGAAACAAGCCGAACAAATCCTGCGTGCACATCCCGAACATGGCGGTATTTCCCCATTTTTATTGTAGAGACACTTGCTGTAAAGGGGCTGGTGTTGGCGCACCTTGCAATGGACTCCACATCCTCCACAGACAAAGATTCTTCTGCAGCCAAAAATGAAGCCGCGGCCAGGGTTACACCAGAGGTGGACCCGCTGGAGTTGATCAAGGCCGGAGTAAGACTTGATACAACATCGTTCATATGTTGGCAGGTGCTCGGTCTTTATCATCGTCTGAAACGGAATTTTGCCGAAACTTTACGCTGCTACAAAACTGCTCTTCGTTTCGAACCACATCAACCTACCATTTTAAGGGACTCTGCGCTTCTCCAAGCGCACGAGCGTCAGTTTGCAGCTCTTGTTGAGTCACGTAACATGCTTTTGAGGATCAACGCCAGTGAGGGTGGCGCTGCAAATGCTGGCCAAATGTGGCGTGCGCTTTCCATCGCCTATGCTATGGCCGGCCAGCCGGAGGCCGCCTTGCGCGCACTTGAGGCCTCCTTCGCTACAAAGGAACAGCAGCAAGACACTCACTGTGCCCCGGGGACGCGTTCAGAGTTGATGCGGTTTAAATGGAAGCTAGAGGCTCTCGCTGGCCACCCTACTACGGCCAGGGTCACTGATAATGTAAACATTGAGGACGCCCCCATTGCAGACGCGGACTTACAGGACGAGGCTGTTGCGCTATATAGCCCGGATGAAACCCTCCGAGCATTGGCTTGTTCACGGCGCCTTGAGCGCAATCCAGATTTGCCCGTCAGTTCGGCCTTGGTCGAGCACCAGAATGCTGTTGTGGGGCACACTTCAGATGCATTGGCACTCGGTCGAAAACTAGAGGTTGCCGTCAAGACTGGCAACATCGAATCTTTTGGTCTTGTTTTCACTTCACTGTTGAATGAGGGTTTACTGGAGAGAGCCCCCATTTCTCTATTCAAGCTGGTGACCATCGCGGCGTTTGATCAGAAACCTTCGCACATCGATGTGCGGACCATACACCAAACCATCTCGAATCTGCTTTCCGAACGCCAGTCATCACTTGCTACTGTGATTTTTCAAGCGCTACTACTGGACGCCATCGGAAACAGCATTGAAGCTCTCGGTCTGATTTCTAGCGCAATTGGCCCCCACCACCCCAAAGGCGTCGTTGCCGAGGGCGATACCCAAGTTTCTGTCGACAATGACACCGTGAACGCTATTGCCCCGGCTACGGAAAACATTCATTTGCTTGTAGATGCCTTCACAGTGCGTGCCAAAATACACAAGGTATTTTATTTTGTTAACGCTAGCACCTGGGACTGTATCGTGCAGCAGCAGATGATGCTATCGCGGCTTCAAAGCTTGCTTGTGGCGATCGTTCGCTCACGATATTTGCAATTCGGCATTTGCTTCGTGCAGACAAAGTCTCCGAGGTGGAGCATATCCATCTTCCAATTCTTTTCAAGAAGCCTATGGAAGAAATCCGCGAACTTCAAGTGGCATGGTATCTCGTTCGTGCAGGCGAGGCATTTTGGCGCTTGGGACGCACCGATGAGGCTGTCGAGGCATGGTCCTTTGTCGCATTGTCCTTCCTTGGCACTTCGCTTGCTGATGATGTTTTTGATTTTCATGGCTATGCGCTTCGCCGATGCGCCCTTGTGGGGTACATGGAATTGCTCACGGCAACGCCGCCTTCCAAAGCCCCTATACTCCACAAACATCCCACCTGGCAGCGTGCAGCATGCAACCTGCTGCATGCTGCAATTGTGTCCACTAACAAAGACTCCACTGGAGATGCCATAATTGATGGAGCATCATCCCGTTCAAGCTCTTTCCCCAGTTGTCAAACGAGCAGCTCAAAAACGACAACAAACGGCTCCGTCGTTGCAGACCAAATAGCAAAGCTCGTTCAAGAGCTCGCTCATTTTGAGCACGAGGCGTYCCCGTCGATACCGCCAAAATTGGCTCTACGCCGCCGGATTCTTCTTTGGCTATACGAGGATAATGGACATCGCATCCTGCCGTTTTTGCGCACGGAACGCTTCCCTAAAAAACTCGCCACGCGCGTTGAACCCTTAATTTCTGAGCTACAAAAGCATGGTTGCGGCACGGGGCTCCTGCCCCTCATATTTACACTTGTCTAATAAATCTCAAGCCAAATTGGATTGATCGCGCTCCTGGTGCCGATGGGCTTCCTCATTAACTTTATAATAAATTTAAACACTTCAGAACATGCGCGAGCGCCACGCAACATAGGCAAGGCATCCGAAAAGCCCAAACATCGTCATCATGACCAGAGCAAAGGGTCCCAGCTGCGTGATGCCGACACCCGGCTGCAGAGGCAACGGCACATTCATCCCCATGATGCCGGCAAGCAATGTCAATGGAAGGAAGATCACAGTAAAGACTGTCAGCCGTTTGACGACTTCATTCATCCGATTAGAGGCATCCGTTAGTTCGATCGATATTTGTGCAAGGTAGTTGGAGTGCGCCGTGTTAAGCGTATCGCGAAAGTGTTCCAGAGACTGTCCCAGGGACAGTACATGGTCTTGTGCGTCTCGCATGTAAAGCAGTGTCCGTGGCGTGCCGCGTACCGGCACGGGGGCGCCTGTTCCGGGGGCCCCCGGGTATTTTGTTTGCCCCACATCACCAAGCAATTTGAGCCCGACAGACTTGAAAAGCTCGCGCTTTGGAAGCAGAATCCGTAGCAGCGCTGTCGTTGCCTTGCGTGCGATGCCGATTCGCYGGACCATGTCTGATTTGTCCGCCTGAGAAAGCAGCAGAACCAGATCATCGATGGAATCGACTTCAAACTCTAGCGCTTTGGTAAGGGGAATCAGTGCGTCTACAAAGTCGTCCAAAAGTGCATATAGGATCCAATCTGGCGAGGCAGGAGCCGAATTCGAGCCGCCGGTTGCAGAGATCGCTGGAGGGGCGAATGGATTGTTTGAAGCAATCGCAGCATCCAGGCGCCGCAATACGCGCGAGACATGGTGCGAAATAGGGCGTGGGTGCATCGAAATGATGCCCCGCTCAGAAATGCCAATGTAAATGTAGGCCGGGTCCACGGTGCTGCTTGTATCTCCGGCTGTGGCAATTGTTGAGACAACAATAAAAAGGTAATGATCAAACAGCTCGCATTTTTCGCGCGTATCCATCTCCACAATGTCTTCAATGGTAAGCGGGTGAAAGCCGCCTCCGGGCACCATCGCCTGGCCACAGGTTATGATATCCTCCCTACTCGGAGAGGTCATGTCGATCCAAAAGGAGGCCTCTTCCGGCAACGTGTGTAGCGCAGACATGAGCCCAGTGCAGTCTTCAAAAAATTGAGCCTTTATGGAGTCCGAGTACAGCGTAAATCGTGGTTGCCCACCAAGATACGAGGAAATAGCGGTACGCCGACCGCCACTGGTCTTCCGATCCAAATAGTCGTCTGCCTGCTTCACGTTTGTACCTCCTCCGTTTCCATCTGTGAAGAGGCTCTTGGTAGGGTGTGGGCTCTGCTGGGGATTGGAGGAAGGATGCATTGGTGAAACGAAAATGAATTTGGATGCCGAAATTCAACATAAATTGGGGGTTCCACCAATGGGAATCCGGGCAGGGTTAGGGTTGCAATGAAACACCAACTGCTCAAATCTTGATGCCATTGCAAGGTTCGGCGGCGCCATGCTACGCGCATCAATAGGCCGTTTAAATACTGCCGTTGCCTTAACGCGGCTCACACATCCCAATACATTTTTCCATTAATTTACTATAAGTTTGGTTGGGATTCGCGTTTAATGTTCCGGTTCGCGTACATAAAGAGCGAGCTCGTAAAGCGAGGGGGTCTCGCCCAGAGGAACAGCCGAAATCAGCGATTGCACTTGATCCGGGGTAAGCCCTAGCTGCCGTCGTATCACATCAACAGGATCTGCTCGTCCAGGCTTGCAGCCCTGGCGCAGAGCTTGGACTAGGTCCATTGCCGCAAGGGCTGTGGACAAGTAATTGGCATCCTCCCCACAACTGCTCTTCAGTAAGCAAATGTCGACAACCGCGCTCAGCAGCGAAACGCCAAATTTGACGTCCAAGGGCCCAGTTGCGTTAATAAAATCAACGCATGGCACCCTGATGTGACCAGCAGCACACGTGACCGTTGCTTGGGACAGAATGGCAAGCAGAGATTTGGCCCTCGTTGTTGGTAAAATGTTCGGCCAAACCATGGTGCGCAAAAGCTCGTCGCTCAGCCCATAATGAGTAGCCACACGTGCAAGTGTGGCAGGGGCATGGTCTGCGTGAGATTCTTTCTGCTGTGCCTCCTCGTCCATGTCTAGTGCGCTCTCAAGCGCCTCGGAAAGCCGCTCGGCAAGGACAATCTCTGAACGCTCTGTCAAATGGTAAAAGTTTGGATTTGCCCGCATCCGTTCAAGCAACCAACTGTGCTGACATATGTAATCCATAGCCGCCTGCAAGGTTGCTTCATCCCCAGCATTAGATGCGAGAAGTGCAGCTGGAAGTGCCATGGCTAGTGATGGCATCAGGACAGATTCTCCAGGGGACATCATCATGCTTGTCGAGAGACCTTGGCTCTCGCAACTAAAGAGCACCGGGCCCATAGTGGCAGGTGCACCCATGGCTAGTCCCAATCCGAACATACAGGCATTTTCCAACACGGCCGCCGTTTGCCATGCAATGATTTGCTTCAATCGGCAAATTTCGGTGGAGGCGATGACCTCTCCTACCATCGAAAGTGGGGTGATGAGAATCGGGAGAAGCCCTCTATTGAAAGCCGTCCATCCAAGCGGATCGGCAGCATATGCGATGCCAGCTGCAAGCCATTCGAGATAATCGCATTTGACATCAGCCCCATCGCCAATCAATTCTGCGATGGCATCGGCATCAGTAGCCAAGGAAAGCTTGTTGCAACGAACATGGCGCATCAATGTGGCGGCCAGCGCGTTTGCAGCGTCCTCATCAGCGACGCAGAGTAACACGCTATCACGACTCGTTTGTGGGCCATTGTCTTCGATGAGCGGAAGCAATGGTAAAAAAGCACTGTTTTTCTCTTCATTCTGGTCAACTCTCCAAAAGCGCACAACAGATGCCTGCGGTCGGCGATGCGGCAGGCGGAGAAGTCGGCCAGGGCTTGTCCCAACCCAGCGTCCAAGCGATCGTAATGAGGGCATGGTGGCAGGGGCCACAAGTAGCGACACAGAAGCATCTGCCAGAGCATGTATTTCTGTAAGCAAAAGCTCTTGGTACAGCATTTGAGACTCACTTATCACCCCCCATTCCATCACCAAGCGGACGGAAAATGGGAAAGAAGACGCAGATACAGCACGAAGTAGTCCAAAAAGGAACGTGACTTCGCCCACTGCGACTACAGGCTTTTGGTGATCCGCATTTTCAAACAAGGAGGCAAGGGCCGACGGAAGCGAATGCTTCTCATCCAAGAGCAACTGCCCGGGTTCAAAGAGCGCAGCCAAAGTGCGGCCCAACGCCACGCGCCTGCCACGCCATGGTGATGTGGCCAAAACCAGTTGCCTTTTCACTTTAGGTGTATCATCGATAAGAGCTACCTCTACAGGCTGTTCGCAAGCAATGGTCAAGCCTATGCCAAACTCCAGCAAACGCACCATAGTGGCTGCATCGGCAAGCAGCGAAAACGGTAACCCCACCACCAATGGCGAACACTCCAATCTTAAAAGCCACAGAACATGCCGCTCTACGGCACTGAGCATGACGGTATGATCAGGGGAAGTGGTATCGGTTTTCATGCAATCCGTAACATTGGCCTGGCACATATAAAGGGCGCGAACCTGCTCCAAAGAGACTGGCGCAAGCTGTTCGATGCGCTTTAGTGGCACTTCCTCATCCGCAGGGAGTTGCAAGGCACGGAAAGAAATAGGTAGCCTCACGTCGCAGTGATGAAACCTGTCTGAAAGCACGTGAATCATAATGGCTGGCGGCACAGGACGACCAATGGGTACACGAAGAGTGGCTGTTGTCACAGTTTCACGTAACAAGAGCCGTTGGTGGTGCAGGATTTTCTCGTCCTCCAGGTCGGTCAGAAACAGCCAAAATGCAATCGAATGGGATTCCGTACGCTGGATGGCAACATCAACGCGAAGAATATCTTGTGTCAAGGGGATCGCAGAGGCTGTGATCTCAATGCTCGGCAACACGCTCAAATCAATCTTCTGCGGGATCAAGGCAGCTAATTCACCGGGAGTCAGCAATCGTAGCTGTGCCAGGTTCAATTCGCGACGTTCAAGACGCGCAAGATCTGCTGCTGCGGTGGTTTCTTTGTCAAGCAGCTGGATGACTGGCGAACAAGTGGGCCAACACCGCAGTTCTACTGAGCGCGCAAGCAGCAAGGCGGTACGGGCCACTGCAAACAGACCCGCTCCACCGCCTCGATTTCCTCTCTCCATCACCGCAATTTCAAAGATAGCGCGAAGTAATCGCGGAGCTATTGCCGCCACATGAGCAGCATCCATTGCCATAGGCCCATCCTCCAATCCAACGCGACTGATTACGGCCTGCAGAAGCAATGCTGCTTTGTGTGTACGCTCCATAGGCACAGGTAGAAGCGAGGCAAGGCGATCGAGCGCCCCTTGTTCTTCCTCGCGGATTCGCGAAAGGGCGGCAAGCTCCATGGTGCGTGAAAGCAAAGAAAGCACTCGTTCATATGCCGATACGGCAGCAATCGATGCTCTTTCGCCCTGTGGGCGGAGCTCATGGAGGATAGTCCGAATGGTGGCTGGTGCTATATAGAAGAAAGACGCAATCTCGCCCAGTGGAGTTGCGTGAAACAACGAAGAGGACGCTGTGGCGCCCTCCACTAGTCCAAGGAGGCGAATCAGCGCCATAGATGCTGACGCCAGCGTCACAATCCACTCTCGGGGATCCCCCCCTTGAGGGTCTATCCCAAGCGCAGCTGGGTCGTCACGAACCATTTGCCCCAAAAACAATCGATCTGAAATCCATGCACATGCGTCGTCCATACTTCGTATAAGCGTAGAACGAGCAACTTCCGCAGCAAGGTGAGGAAGAATTCGCATCATCATAGAACAGGAGGAGGAAGAAAAGGAAGAAGCCGATGATGTGATGCCGTCGGCTTCCCCATCTGTCGCTGCCGTGGTGAGCATCTGAGAAAGCACCGGCTGTGCCGTGACAGCTACATACCGTGAGAGGTTCTCGTGCGAGGTCAGCAGCAATGCCTCGCCATGGCGGTCAAATTGAGGCCGCCCGGCACGCCCCCACATTTGAAGCAAGTCTTGGGAGCTTAGCAATGTCCATGCAGGGCCACTTCCTGATTCCGTGCCTGGATCGTATATTTCGGTGCCCTTAATGATGACCGTGTGTGCGGGCAAGTTAACGCCCCATGCCAATGTGGCTGTGGAGACGAGCACAGAAAGCTGTCCGCTGCCAAAGAGCCGCTCAACAGTACCGCGGTCTTGCCGCGAAAGTCCAGCATGATGGATGCCGATTCCCGCCGGCATCAGCTCGCCAAGCTCTGCCGAATCGAAAGCAGAATCGTTAGCATCTTCGGCGTCATTCCCGCCCGCGCGATGAAAAAGAGCAAGAAGGCCACGAGTGGCAGCTCCATCGCGCAGCAGCCGTGCCGTACGTGCTGTTTCCCGCCGCGAGTGCACAAACACAAGGATAGGGCCCTGCGGCAATCGTTCAATGACCTCTTCAAGCAGAATCTCATTCATCTTCGCCATGCGCTTGGATACCTTTCGTTCCATGACACCATAAAAGGAAAGGGATAAGGGACACGGGCGCCATTCGCCGCCAAAGCAATGAACGCGGGCTCGAAGCCAGCTACCCACTTGCTCAGCATTTGGAAGCGTGGCTGAAAGCGCCACAATACGCGCCTCGCCCAAAGAACGCGCTACGATCGCCTCCAGCGCAGTACCTCTTGGTGCATCTCCAATCAAATGCACTTCGTCTACGATCAGCAAATCAGGGATCAGTGCCGCCGGTTTTCTGGAAACGATGTCCCACTTTTCTGGCGTGGCCACTATTAGACGGCATGAGGCAAAGCCTTGTTCGGCGAGAAGAGCACCTAAACCACCTCCCGATTCTCCTGTGAGTTCGGAGATGGCGAGTTCGTTGGAATCCCAAAGCCCACTTTCCAAAAAGCGGGATCGAAACGTAGCCGTAATTTCACTTACAAGCGCACGCATAGGGGCTATGTAAACGGCAATGGTGGACCGCTTGCTTGCGACGGTCTCGCCGTCAGAAGATTCTATAATCGTGCTGCAGCCTGGAAAGTCGATTTTACGCCCACAAGCAGAGCCAAACAGGCGTAACAAGGCAAGGATGGCAATTCCGGTCTTTCCAGCACCAGTGGGCGCAGAGACCAATAAATTTTGATCCGAAAAAAAGGCGTGCGCAAGTACGGCAGACTGAATGCGATTGAGGGTCGGTTGGCCCTCCCAGGCCCCATGGGTCCATGAGGGGAGAGCCTCTACAACGCAAAGTGAAGGAGCATCGCGAACGTGAGCAGGAATCGCCGGAGGTGCTGGAACGTGAATCAGCTCATAGCCAGCATGAGCACGTCGCCAAGAACCTGGCGGTAGTGGCAGTCTACGCGCAGCAAGCGTCTGCGCGTCGCGGGCATCACGCGCCATCGCCGCAAGTGTTTCCGCTGACGAGCTAGAACTTGATTTGGAAGGGGCAGTCGATGCTATTACAGAGGACGCGTCGACAGTAGAATTTTTTTCAAACGGCGCTACCGCAGATGTCGTCCTTGGGGTATCAACAAGCGCTGCAAGAACAGCGCCCTCTGGGCCTTCAGCGATGAGCTGCTGAAGAATAGCTTCTTTGGCCTCGCCATCTCCGCCGAGAGGGTCTGCCTCTGCAAGGGCTATCCCCGCCACCAATGCCATACGATTGCTCACTAAAAGCGACAGAAGCTCAAATGGATTTTCGTGGCGTGAATGGTGCTTGCACAATTCTTTAAGGATCCGGCCTTCGAGGATCCAACCCTCGAGGGTACGGTCTTGCAACAAGGCGAGAACAGCTTTAGATCTTGAGTGAGAAACCCAGGCATCTTCTCCTGGCAAGGAGAGCAGTCGTTGTAGATAATGTACATCGATATCTCGAATGTCTATTCTCGGAATAGAACTTTTTGGCAGGTGCATGTCTCCTTGTTCCTCTTCAGAGGGTACCACATGCGACAAGTAGAAGGGGTCGATTTCCGTTTCCTCATCGCCCCTAAATTGCCCGATATTTTCTTCGGGATCTTCCTTGATATCTGGGAGATACTGGCTTGCTTCGCCGCCGCCGTCATCATCATCATCATTGAGGAGATGGTCTGGTTCCACTACAGTTAGACCGAAAGATTCCTCTTCTGCCTCTGCAGTATTTGCTTCCGTAGATGTCGATGCCGAGGCATTCCAGTCTACCAGGCGTTTTGAGAGTGCAAGAAGCTGCGAAAATGCAAGACTTTCCATGGGGCGCATTAACAGGGCCTCCAGAGAGCTCCTCTGCTCAAGCTCACGTAGTTCGGAAGAGCAGAGAATGATCAGAGCCTCGTCAAGAAGCGCCCGTCCCATTTCACCCGACTCTTCTTCGGCAAGGTCCATCACCAGCTTTAGCATGCGCTCGTAAATGGAGCGAGTCTCCTGAGTTCGTGGCCGATATTTTAGCGTCGCAAGCTCACTTAGGGTCAAAGAAGAAGATTGTGATAGCGCATCGCTCATATGACCGCCACCATTTGTAGATTCATCAGAGGGAGGCTTCCTTTTCGTGCTAGGCAACTTCGGCCGTTCCCTCTCCGCCTTTGCGCCGAATTCTAAGGGGTTGATGCGACCCCAAAGAGAGCCGATCTCACTGCCGTCCTCTACATCGTGCTCGCCTCGTTTTTTGCCGTCTGAATGAAGAACCAAATTCGCATTTCGGGCATAATCAAAGCGGTGTACATGCTCATCGTCGCCAGCCATGAACGCGATTTGTAAGCTCTGTAAAATTCGGTTGTGCTTGGCCGTTAATTTAAAATGTACGTTAAATTGTAAAGTTGTGTTTAAATGTTTACGATAAACATTTACAACCCTGCGATTGGATATGAATCGATCAGCAAAACATGGGATTGCTGGATATTTGTTTTGACAACGTCGAATGCTAATCAGAAACAGATGGCTGCATGTAAACAAAGGAAGTAGCCTGAACTCTTTAAAAGGGACGCAAATCATGTCGCCAACATATTCCGAATGAAATTGAATTTGTATCTCACCTCATTTCTTGCTACTGCATTGGCACTTTCGAGCGTCGGAGAGGCCAAAGAAGAAAGACTTTTTGGAATCGAAACGATCCCCACGTATAATGGCCGCACCCAATACGTTTACATTTATGGCCCCAACAAGCGTTCCCGCTGTGAGGCCGTCAAGGCATGCAAAGCTCTTTCTGGCGGCCATCTTGCCAGCATTCCATCTCAACATGTTTTGAAATATCTGGAAAAGTTTGTCAAAAAGAGTCCCGCATTTATCGGATCATGGGAGGGAAATGATTACCAAGGTGCTGCTATTGCAATCTACCCCGGCGGAGCCATTGCAATTGCCAACCCCGAACTTGGCGATTTTATCTGCGAGGTACCTTTGGATGGCGCGTGTACGTGCTCAGAAAGCTCAAGCACTGAAGACTTGGAGACTTCCACTACATGGTGGTCCACCACGGATAGCAGCGAGCCCACTACATGCTCGTCCACTTCAAGCGACTCTACCAGCTGCTCAACTAGCTCTAGCACCAGCTCAACTAGCTGCAGCACCAGCTCAAGCGACTCTAGCAGCACTACCTGCACGAGCTCGACATCATCAAGCAGCTGCCCATTCTACTTTAGTTCTGACATTCAAGAGTCAACTTCCACCTGCGATCATTCCTCATATAACTCGTGCGATTTGTTCGCTCCGATTAACTTTTCCTTTTCAGCCGACTCCTCGTCTGAACCTTTTTGTGATATGAACTTTGGCTATAAGAACGCTGGAGACAATGCAATCGGTAATGATGACATGCCAAGCCCCCCCGTAGATAATGATCCTGATAGCACCCTCTCCACCATATCTGAAAATTCTAGTGAATATGTCCCAGATGTGGAAGAATACTATAAGACGTGGCCACTTTATGAATGAATTTAGCGGTTAATAAACTCTAGATTTTATTAGTGCTGCTTGTCAATCAAATGTGTTGATTTTGATGCACTCAAAGTTAGGGTTAGGGTTCAATCAGTCTGGCCAGGCGCAATTTTCCAAATTACATACGATGATCAGCAGCGGTGCGTTATTTACACTTACCACTTGGGAGAAGCGTGAGAAAATCCAAGTAGCTTGTGACAATATGCATCCCAATTTGGGTCAACATCGCTTATAAGGCGTACAAATCACTAAATATTGAGTTTATTAAAAATGAGCCTATCCAGACGCATCTTCAACCTCCATTTGTTTTTTAAATCACCGCACTCGCACGATCGCTCGAATCTCAATATGTTTTAGAAAGAGTTACAGAATGATCTCAAGAGAAATTTGCAAAAAATTCAATCAAATCGGTGCAAGCCCGTGGTTTAAGGGAGTTAGCTAACCCCTACAGGCACAAATCGAAATTAGTAATATGCCATTGCGAAATACTTGCTTTGGCCACAAACGTTCAGAGAAAAGCCTGCACCTGCGAGAAACTCAACGCGATCGATTTCTTTGCGGATAACCACGAAATCACTCAATCAATTGCCAATACATTGCGATTTCATTAAATAGGGCCAAACGACTTTATGTATAGGCCAAGTTAAAGGGAACCAAGGGTTTGTGCTTGTGGCATGACGCTCGAAAAGGTATTTGAAAGGCAAAGATGGCCACAATAAACTTGTAAAGCATGCTCAGGTAAGTTCCTGATCAACGGACGGACGTTCAGGAAATTTCATGTCAAATCGCTGAGATATGCAAAATAAAATGCCAATTACGGTGTCCAGCATCCATAAAAGAGCAAATTGAGCTTTAATTGGGGTCTGCGTCAACATGGTCGCGTTCTTTCTACTGATGGTTAGGTTCGAAAGCTTGCCAATGGATTTGGCTGACTCCTGACTTTGACCTATGTGATGGATGACATCCAGGGACACCATTAAATGTTATTTTTATGAATTTGAGTGATTCTATTGCAGTTGTGATACCTAGGATTTTTGATGAATATAGCTCTGAACGTCTATGTTCAGAATATGTGTATCTGGGGCAATTAAAACGCAAATCAGACCTCTGTTATGTCGACATAGGCCTATGCAATCAAAAGAGCCCCAATCAGACCCCCAAAAACAGAGGCCATGGAATTGATTTTTATTCGTACGTTAGCAGTGATGGGAGTTTTCGAAATTTTAGCTCCAATAGGCGCTCCTCTGCTAAAGACACATCAATATGTTCCTCAGAAAGGCTATATCGGCGAAACAAAGGGAAATGCACTTTCCTACCTAGCCGGCAGCACATGCGCTCCGCCGGCTTGGAGTTATCTGATGCACTGTGTAGAAAAAGTCAATTACCGGCTACGTCTGAGGAAACCCTACTACCTGGCCTGGTTGAGCTGCCTTTTTATAATCCTTTGCGAAAATTTAAGCGCAAATGTTCGGAATTTCGGGATGCAATGTCTGTTTTGAAACCTGCTTTTGCAAGCGTAGGCCTCCCACCAACTGGAAAATCGCCCTCCGTTATATCGGTCGAGATAATTCGACCTAGTAGCCAGCATCCTGATCAGCTCTACCGAATGTGGCTTTCGCAGCAAACTTCACACAGATCATTGAAGTCAACTTTGCTGAATTTCACAAACTGTGCGTCGAAAGTGCCTGCATTATAAATACTTGACTTGCCAATTTGGCTCCACGGGGTATTTTTATTTGGATGGCGAGATTCAAGCTGCAGCGCATCAAAAGAGACATAGGCCAAGTTGTTTTGGTGCGCTCGGGACGTGTGTTTGCTATGTATTTGCATTGCACATGCTTGATCTCCCTTTAAGAACAAAAAATAGGGTAGCAAATCGGTGTTTTGCAAGAGACTCTGATGTAAAAGTATCTTCGCATCTAGCAAGCACGCTGCTCCTCAAATGCACAGTCGCCCCTATGCTTTATACCATTACATGGAACGTGTGTACATTGATGCTCAAAATTTATGAAAGTTCAAATCCAAATGAACGCATGCATGCAATATGGGCTTCAATGATATCCCTGCATGAAGTTTCGCCATCTTGGTGGGCCATCATGCATTCATCTCTCGCTTTTCGAGTTTCTTTGCAAACGCAACAAGGCTTTACGGGCGTCATGGATTCAGAGTTCGAGGAAACAGGGCATGACTCCATAGGGTCAAGAATTCGAATTTATAAAAATTGCACCCTCTCCTCCCCCCAATTATTCATTTATTTGTCGTCAGCCCCAAAATTATTGGTGGTTTATTTGAGCTTTCGGTACAAAAGAGCGGTACCAAGTATTCCGGCAATTCCGCAGGACACTGAAACCGCCAAGATATTGTCTTTAAAAAGGCTTCCAAACCAATCCAATGCCTTTCCGCGCGACGCCACAGAAATATCTTTTGCATGGGCAACAAAAAGTGTGATCGGAGCATCAATGGATGCCCCGGAGCTCGATCCCAGTATCATTTCGATAAGAGAAACCAGGTCGTCGTCATTAAAAATGGGTACAAGATCATTCTCGCTGTCTTTGAATGATATTGAAAACGGCTCGTCAAGGCAAAGCTTTTCTTTGACGGCCAAAACCAATGCCGAGTGAAGCGGCTGCTGAATGTGGACATAAACAACATTGCTGCCATTGCGGACTTTGAAGGACCATCTATTGCCCTTTGAAATTTTGGAGCTGGCATTGGTTTCTAGCGACGTGACGCTGGCAGTATCATCTTCCGTGAACTCATCCTGAATGTGAGGCGAAGAATTGTCTGTAACGCATGAAGATGGGGCCGAAAAAAACCCTTCAAAATCAATCTCCTTTTTCATCTACAAATAAAACAGTGCGAAACAAAGATACCTTTCCAATGACATGGATGCAAATATCCAAAATGTCAATCAGGGATGAATGGCCATCCTCCTTGATCACAGGTAGATGCAAGTATTTTCCTGCATACATTTTCTCTAATGCCAATAATAAGGAAGAATCTAAAGAGATGGTTTCTGGATTTGGCGTCATCACGCGGGTAAGGGTCGTCCTCAAAGGATCCAGCTTGCATGAGATTACGCGGCGAACAATGTCCTTTGATGTGAAGATGCCGATAAGAGATCCCGATTCATCCAATACCAAAACAGCTGTGCTTGACGCTGCTTTCATTGTGATGGCTGCGCTTCTAATCGTTGTCTTTAGCAAGCACGAGGCAGACGTGTTCAAAAGTGATGAGGCAAAGATACCGGCAACTTCTGGGGTGGAGAGCTGCTTTTTGAGCAGCTGAGTAAAGCCCATCAACTGCTCAGTGCCTATCGTCGTTATGGACATGCAAAATACCAGCATAATGGTGGTCCTGGGTGACATGCCCAACTGCAGAAGTCAGGCTACGAGTTAGCTCTTCCGATTTGCGTAATTTCTCAATGGCACCTCGCATTGCAAGCGTAATATCCAACACGCCCTCGATTTCTCCAAACGCCGAAACAACAGGCAAGTGGCGAAAGTGCTTATCAGTCATGATTTGAAGCGCATCATTCATCGAGGTGCCCGACTGTATGGTAATTGGGTTGGGGGTCATTATGGAGGAAATCAGCACGATTGCTGGGTCGAGCCCTTCTGCAATCACTTTGTAAGCAATGTCTTTGTCGGTGACAATTCCAATCAAAACAGAGGGCACCGTCGTCTGCACATCTTCGACAACTAGAAGCGAAGAGGCCCGCAGTGATGCCATTTTCTGGCATGCCTGTAAAACTGTGCTTGTGTGCGGAACGATAACAGATGGCTCCAGCGCATCTGCCCTGGTGATGGAAGACGCATTGCTTGCAAAGCCTTTTGAAGCGAATTTCTGAGGTGCCTGGGACGCCCGGTTTGCCGGCATTCCCTTTTTTGCGCCCTGAGAGGGCGCGAAATCGGAGGGTGAAGCAAGGCTTGTCTTGCGGCGATTGCCGAGCAGATCGACTGGCTCTCTCGCTGACCCCGCTGTGCTTGTCATTTGGCAGATAAATATTGCCCCAATTTCGCTCCCAATTAAACATGTAATTTTACTTTCACATTAAAGTCAACAATTCCAAACTGCGGATTGCTGCACATTTGGCCCAAATGCCGCATTCGGTCTCGCAAGACGACACCGAAGCAATATCCCTGGTGCGCGGCCCCGCAAAGCTGGACGGGTTTCTCAAAGCCTTGGTGCTATTGGGCGTGGTGGGCACCGGATTTTCAATATTCCAAATGTCTATTTATTTGAAAAAGGGCAACAACGTAAAGCTCGATTTGTGGCAAAAGATGCGGTTGGTCGGCCAAGGCCTCACCATCAGCACAATCACAGCAGGCGTGTTTGGACCGATGCTATATGACCAGGTTTTGCTTTACTCCAGCATTCGACGCCATGCTTTGGCCCAACCGCCGCTGCCAAATAAAGTGCAGTAAACTTTAGCACCGGCCACGCCTGCTAACTTTAATGTTTGGCATCTGATCTGATGTGATCTGATATTTGTCGCGAAGCTGATTAATGGCCCGGCAAAATGTCTTAATCGGGACATCAAATCTTCCAAATCTAATTTTCAATTGCGACCGGGCGTGCATCACCTTTGTCTGAAACCAACACCCACATGACGATTAACGAGGAATTTTTAGGAAGAGATTCCGGAATCGAAAGCCGCAATGTTTATCGCAATGCATCGCCCGCTGTCTTGTATGAAGAGGCCCTCACACACGAGTCCGGTACATTTATTACATCTACCGGAGCACTTGTTACAAGTTCAGGCTCAAAAACGGGTCGCTCGCCTTCTGATAAACGCATTGTAAAGGAGTCCAGTACGCAGGATGACATTTGGTGGGGCCCCGTCAACACAGCCATGAGCGAGCATGTTTTTGACATCAACAGAGAAAGAGCGGTCGATTATTTGAACACAAGGACTCGCCTGTTTGTCTTTGATGGGTTTGCCGGGTGGGATCCCAAATATCGCATAAAAATTCGTGTAATTTGCTCCAGCGCCTATCATGCGCTATTTATGCGGAATATGCTGATTCGCCCAACAAATGAAGAGCTGTCCCGATTTGGCAAACCCGATTTTACAATTTTCAATGCCGGCGAGTTTCCTGCAAACAAATTTACGGAGGGCATGACTTCAAATACCTCCATCGCAATCAACTTCAAGGCCAGGGAAATGGTTGTTTTGGGCACACGATATGCCGGTGAAATGAAAAAAGGCGTTTTCACCGTAATGCACTACTTGATGCCCAAGGCGGGGGTTCTTTCACTTCACTCCTCTGCAAATGAGGGAAATGATCCGTCGGACGTGACGCTCTTTTTTGGATTATCTGGAACCGGAAAAACCACGCTATCTGCCGACATTAATCGCCGCCTTATCGGCGATGATGAACATTGTTGGAGTGACAATGGGATCTTCAACATTGAGGGCGGCTGCTACGCCAAGTGCATCGATCTATGCCGCGAAAAGGAGCCGGAGATCTTTGATGCGGTGCGGTTTGGAAGTGTGCTTGAAAATGTCGTTTTGGACCCGCATTCGCGAGTCGTTAACTATGGAGATAAAAGCTTCACCGAAAATACAAGATGCGCCTATCCCATTGAGTATATCCCCAATTCCAAGATCCCATGCATCGCTGGGCATCCGAAAAATCTTATTTTACTCACATGCGATGCTTTTGGGGTGCTTCCCCCGGTCTCTAAACTGACCTCAACTCAGGCAATGTACCACTTTATTTCCGGCTACACGGCAAAGATTCCAGGAACGGAGCAAGGAATCTCCTTGCCGACACCAATATTTTCTGCCTGTTTTGGCCAGCCATTCTTGGCTTGGCATCCCGTCAAATATGCCAAAATGCTTTCAGAAAAGATGAGCAGGCACAATGCTGACGCCTGGCTTATAAACACCGGATGGTCTCAAGGGCCATATGGCATCGGGAAGAGAATACCGTTGGCCTGTTCTCGTGCAATCATTGACGCCATCCATTCGGGAGAGCTGTCCAAGCAAAAATACACCACATATCCCGTTTTCAACCTCCAAATTCCTACCGGTGTCTCCAAGGTGCCTTGTGACATACTTGACCCCCGAAAAGTGTGGTCCAAAGCCAATCCGATCAATGTCGATGAGGCCATTGTAAATGTTGCCAAACTGTTTGCCGATAACTTTTCCAAATATGCCCAAGATGCCGGCGATGAGATCCGTGCAGCTGGGCCAGTGATTTCGGCATAAAAGAAGAATAAACACCGCAACACGCTTGCGAATAGCCAAAACATTAATTTATTAAAAATCCAGCTGTATCACCAGCGAGGGACGGCAAACGGTGATTTTTGGGAACGTGCAGATCATCGAAACGGTCAAAAAGTCCAAAACAGAGGAAATCTTATATACAAAGGAGGTGCCTGCACATTCAGAATAGCATGCACAAAGGTAGGAGGATGGCGGAGGCGATGCACTCTCGTTTACATTCGGTGGTTGCGCTACGCAATGCGTTAGTGCTTGTCATCGATACCTGATTTGCATATTTCGACTCCGGTTGCAAAGTTTGACTCCAAGCTGTGCACGTTAAAGTCAAACCTTGAAGACAGCTTGAGGTTTTTTAAGCGTGGCAGAGGGATCCCGGTCGAGTATGTAGACGATAGATGTCCCAGAAACGGATTGCACGCGACAATTAGGCTCGAATTGGAGTCCACAATGGCTCTCAGAACAGTGCCCACTTGCAAATAAGGTAACGTTAAAAATACCTCCGCCAATTTGGTCTTTCATTGAAAAGTATGCCTCGCCACCCATTGAGAACTCAACCGAGCTGTATTTCTTAAAATGGAAAACACCCCTGATGCCGCCAATATGGCTTCCAGAGTTGTCGTATTGAAAAGAAGCCTCGGAATATATTGGAAGGCCGAAGGGTTCATTGATGTTGAAAAAGGATTGAATGGTGGAGAGCTCTTTTTTGGAAAAATTTAACGATGTATTAACTTGCAACAAAACTTTCGGGTTGATCAGAAGCAGGCTCTTGGTATTTACTTTGCAAAGCGCTTTGGAGGAGGACAGTGCAAACGCCCACTTTGGAAATGCCGGAAAGAACCCTAAAATCTGAAAAAAGCCAAAAAACGCGGTACCCTTTGCAGAGGATTGCTGGTGGTGTGCGACAAATGCGACGCAGAATTGATATTCGACGTGGTCAGCAAAAAGGACGGACAAAGAGACGGAAGCAACGTAAATTGCAGCAAGGATCGGGGCGCTATGGATGCAGTGGAGACTTTTACACACAATGGGGAAGATGGAACCTGAAAGTCATATAGACCTAGAATGCGTAAATAGCGCTAGCCTCACTTTTGGACTCTGTACACAATGCCAAATAGAGCTTGTTGTTATGGATTGAAGAGAACGGTTTCAGTTCAGGGGCCGCCGAATACAAAAAGTTATCCAGGACAAAATCCATCGTCACCGGTAAGTAAAGTTAAAATTAAAATCCAACTGGCGCTGCCGCAGCGATAAACAATTAAAAAGTTCAATTTATTGGGAATTAGTAAGATCTTTCATGGCCTTCATAAGATGATGATCGGCCGGCTCCGTTTGAAGAAGATCTTTCATGAGAATAGGGTCTTGGCTGGTCGCTGGGCGTTCGCGGGGTGCGGCTTTCATAGTCACCGCCACGACGGCGACGATCTCCACCATTAAATCTGTCTGATCTCTCACCACCAAATCGGTCGGATCTTTCACGGAAAGAACCGCCACTTCCACCAAAGGACTTTCCACGGGAAGATCTTTCGCCTGCAAAGTCGACTCTTATTTTGCGGCCATCAAGGTCTTGGTTGTTGGTTTTCTCAACGGCATCACGAGCCTCATCAGTGTTGCTCAACGTAACGAACCCAAATCCACGCGAGCGATTTGAATCTCTATCAAGAATCACCTCGGCATCGGTTACCTCGCCAAATTGTTCGAAATGAGAACGCAGAGACTCATTGTCTGTCTTCCAGGCAAGTCCGCCAACAAAAAGCTTCGTAGCCATAAAAATATTAATTACAACAGTGGTGCCCCTTGGTTTATAATGCGATGTGATTCGCATTAAAGCATTTTTAAATTTTTGTTTTATTTCCTGCTCAACTTTAAAATATAGTGCATTAATACGGTGCATTGACAAAGTGCATTAATACGCTGCATTGACAAAGTGCATTAATACGCGGCATTAATAGAGGGCATCAATACGCTGCATTAACAGAGGGCATCAATACGCTGCATTAACAGAGGGCATCAATAGAGTGGCACAGGCAGTACATGTTGCAGTACATTACATGGATGCAGACTAAAGTTTAGCGATAAAATCTGATCAAATGTAAAGCCGCCTTATTTTTCTAACATGGGATCTTTGGCGACAAAGGGGGCAAAGAGGCTGCCGCTCCATCGCAGCCAGCAAGCAGGCCATGCAAAAAACATGACCACATTCTGTTGCTGCAGGCTCTACCAACACATCCATGCAAATTCTGCACTGTGGATTGTCTGAATGTTGCCCGTGGCCGCGGGGCGGAGATTTTGTCAAGTCTTCAACAATTCGCTCATCGGTGAGATCAAACATGGTATGGATATCTGAATCATGAAATGCTTTTTTGGTGTTTCTTCCGATTGAAGCAGGCAAAATCGATAGTTCGCCCATATCAGATTGATCGGTCAAAAATGTTATCTCTGGATTTCTTCTGTCAGCATTAGGTCGTTGAGACCTTCTGTGATTTGACCTGCTTGAGCTTTCTAACTGGTCATTTGAAGTGGATGTCTCTGAATGGCTTAGGATCTCTAATACCTCCGGTTCAGAGCCACCACCGCCATCTTCACCATTGGCGCCATCATCGCTCTCATCAGAAAAAATATACACAATATTTTCCTTCAACGAGGCCGTGTTGAAGGCCTTGAACTCCCGTGCGATAGAACTGGTGAGCACGGCATTTTGTTTTCCTGCAGTGTCATCTGTCATGCCAGAATTAAAGCCCTCTACAAGATGATAAAATTTAAATTTTAATTTTCTTAAACATTCGCTTCATAATTTCTAAATCTCATCCGAGTCGGAAATTAGCGACGACACCGAGCTAATATCATCTTCATCTGACACCAAACGCCGATTGCATTCGATTTCGGAGCCTTTGTCATTTCCGGCACCTGGAAAGGGGCTCAGTTTGTCGTTTGCTGGGTACATATCTGGCCTGGCATATTTTTTTATATACTCTGGAACAGTTAGCAGAGCGAAGCGCACCTTTTACTTGGTTTTCATATTTGATAGAGTCCCGGAGCAATAGTGCAGCGGCTTCCCCGTTAAGAGGATCCGAAGGATTTGGGTATCGAAGCAACTGTGGAAGGAAAACATCGAAAATATTTATCATTCCTAAAATAAAAGAAACACGCCAGTACCAAACATGGGGCTCCACGTTTGGTTGATCACGTCCAGACAGACGGTTCCACTTCTACAAAATAGGTTACCATACCGTACATTTCATCGATATTTGGATGAAAGATTCTGTTGACAAATCCGATCGAAGGGCTTTTGTACGGATATTGGTCTGGTATTTCGACCCGGACCTTCCATATGCCAGACTCAAAGGGCGCTTGAAAATGACATGCAAAATATCTCCTACTCTCGCTTGGGCCGCTGAATTTTACATGGAATTCTTGCACATTATTGTTAATCAATTCTATTTCGTAATTGCTCATCATCCTATTGCAGTTGGTGAGAACGAGCCGGATCTTACAGCTTCATCACATCAGCCTCGATTCTTTTCCTGAATGTATTCCTCATCCACAGTGTCGGAAAGCTAAGAAAATGTTAATGCAGCATTCCGAAGTTTAATTGATAAAATTGCTATGAGATGACAACCAATCAACAGGTTCTGCACAATCTATCCTTTCAACAATTGCAATGTTGCAGATTTAAAATTTTGTTTTCATCTCAACTTGACCGCATGGTGGACGTTACCATTGTGGCTGCGTTGTGTGCCAAAACCGGCGCAATTGGGTTTCAAAATAAGCTTCCCTGGCGTGATCGTTTGAACATTGATATGGCATTTTTCAGATTTGTTACCACAGTTCCTTGGTCTCTTTCGTGCGCCGCCGATGGCCATCATGCTAGGGCCCCAAAAGAGGCTGCCCCATCAACGGCGCCTTTGGAGCCGTACTGTGCCACCAATCGCTGGAGAGGCATCTTTGACACCGATGCTTGCTTTCCCCATATTGAGTGCACATTGGCGTTCGAAAATCTCACTTGCCCTCCGAACCCAAACAATGCAATAATAATGGGCCGTAAAACGGCAGACTCAATCCCAGTTGCGCTGCCTTTACCCGGGCGTGTAAATGTTGTGTTGTCAAAAAGCCTTAATGATAGCGAAAATTGTCACGTGCCCGATTCTTCTATTTCCAAAGACCATAACGGCATATTATATTGCAAAGACATCCAATCCGTTTGTCGGGATCTATCTCGAATAACGGCATTGTCGAACATCTTGGTGATTGGAGGCTCCGAAATTTACTCTCAATTTCTCAAACTTGGCCTTGTAGATCATTTGCTTCTTACTTTTGTATCCCTACAAACGCCAAGCTCTTTCAAGGGGGCTGATGTCTTTTTCCCATCAATTCCAGCAAACTACCGGTTCGTTGCAAACATAAGCTATCAAGCTGCAAACGCCTTGTTGGAGTGGATTGGAACCCCACAAGATACAAAGCGTTTGTTGAGACACCAAATAGATACTGGCCTCATTCTGAAATCAGGCTCAATCAAAGAGTCTAGTGGCCATTTGCTGAACATTCTTTGGTTTCAAAAAATGCGTTGCTGACAACCTGCGGTTTCCCAGGGAGTGAGTATCTAATTTAAACACGGTTTTTATTGGCTAAAGCACTATATTCTCAATTGGGGAGTTCAACTTATCCGGCCAATTAAATAAATTTAAAACCGACCTATTAAAATTAAAATACACGATGGTTTTTTATCTTTAAATGGCATCTTTGCCGTTTTCCATTTCTAATAGAAACCGTGCGAAAATAGCACAGGTAACGGAGGAATTTGGGGCCGAATATCTGAAAAGCAATCTTTCTAGCAATATAAAAGAAATACCTGGGATTAGCAATCGGATCATGACAGATTTTGTCATGCCTGGTTCGTCTGCTCGCACAATGTTCCAACCAACTGTTCAATTCGGTAATTCCTACTTTAATTTTGGCTTTATCAAATCATTGTTTGGCTCTTTTGTTTTTGCAAACAAATCTGAACTTCATGTTCCGCTTGCAGGCATCAAGGCTGCAAACATGGGAGGATTTCATGACGTGAATGGCCACCAAAACGCCTCCTCAAAGCTGCATAGCTTTTTGAAAGGCCCTTTTATTAAAAGAATTCTGTTTTTATCCTTCATTTTCACGTTTATCTTCTACATGCTTATGCTCGTCTTTATCTACCCGCCTTATCGGTATCAAATGACTTCAACTTCTCTCGAATTGTGCAACCACGAATGCAGCAATAAAAACAGCACTCTAGGGTCTTTTAACGGCAGTTTTTTGGCTTTAGATAGAAAAAACGAATTTTTATTAGAGTTCTATGCTTCAAATATAGAGGAACATCGTGAAAGTGCTGCTGATGATTCCATGAAAGTCTCTAGCTCTGTCACGCCGCATTACAGCGCGGTTTCATATAGACCATCTTTTTCGGTGTCTTTTTTCGATCCGAGCAATATGCTTAATAATTTTCACTCAACATCTCCTTTTTGTAATACATTGGTTTTCCAGTGTATGCACCTGCTACAATCAACGCCGACCATCAACATTTTGTATTTATGTGAATTGTTTCGTCTGGTGAAGGAAAAGGTCTCTGTATTGTTTCCATTTTCATACCTCAGTTTTGATTCGTCCTCTGTATCCTGCTTTTCTTCATTCCCGCCATTTTATAGAATTGAGCAATGGTTCTCGACATTTTGGGATGATCCAGATGACCCAGAAGATCCTCCATTCGAGATCGTCTTTTCACTTCCCATATTGGGCCTGGTACGCCTATCATTTGATGTTGCAGAATTAGATCAGCTCGTGATAGGAAACCCGTTTTTTTCAGAACAAAAGGGTAAACAGACATCAATTTTGTCTCTTTCGAGGCTGTTTGCGTCTGCCACTGTAAATGTAAATTTGTCGACCAGGCTTTTTGAACGGTCCTTGGCCTCCATTAGATGTCTCGTTCAAAACGCCACACTTTTCCTTTTACAACCCACCGATTGTAAACTTCCTGTTTTTGACATATTGATCCCGGATTTTAGAATCGAAAGCTTGACCTCATTTGAGGCAACTAGGGGCATTTTCAATGCCGTACTAAATCGGTACCAGTATGTTTTGACAGAAAGAACGCAAAAGGTGCTTTCTCGAAGACTTAATAGGTCTCTTAGAGTGGCTACCAAGAAAATTTCACGGGCAATCAGCCTAGGATCTTTTTTAGAGTTTATCGTTAGCGTTTGTTTGAGGCATCCTTTGAAGTTTTGCGCAGAAAATATCAAGCTCTTTTTGAAAGGCAAATAAATAAAATATTTATCCATTTTGAAGGGGGGCTTCCCCCATGCAATGTCCGATGCGTAGTCGATAGATGGTGCTTTACTTGGCATCTAGTAACAAAAGTTGCATTTATTAAAGGATAGAAGGGCTGTGTAGCAGTAGACACGGACCGTATGGTGGGTTTATTCATTGGAATGGCATGCATGTGTTGCTTGTGTTTGTCTTTGTTTGGAATCATAGTTCTTGATTGCCTTATAGCTTTGGGAGCTCCATTAAAAACTTGTCCACAAG